GAGAGAGAGAGAGAGAGGAAAATTCGAGGAGACGGGAAAGAGAGTGGAGCGGAAGAACGAGAAAGGGGAAGAGATGAGGTGGTACGCGACGGGATGGTCTTTCTGCGTAAGTCGTGGACGAACGGAGAGATTGCTGCGTGAAAACTTCAGCGAACTCGCGATGTTTATCGCGACTCGCTTCGAATCAAGCGTTTCTTCTTGCAACGTTGACGAACCGACCTGTTTGTTAACTAGTTGAGGAATTAACCTCGGACCTTGCGCGGGAAATGCTGATTAAAAATCTGCACAGATCGTCGTTTTTCCGTTTCGTATCATATTTTCTGGAACTCTCGTAGAATTACCGCGAGATAAATTTAAAATTGAAACGTCTTCTGCTATTATTTGTGATATCGACAGTTACAAGTTGTGCGACTCTTGTGGAATATACTAGTATATAGATTAATTAAAGGATATAATTAGCACAAGAACTTTGTTTTAAGTTTTTGCTTATATTCTTCCCTAAATACTATTACATTTTTTTTTCGAATTAGTAATACCATGTAGGACGGCATCCTTTGCAGCCTTTTTTATTTATAACGAAAGTACTCGCCACCGTGTAGTCAGACCCGACTCTTCGTTTCAAGAGCAACCGCCAATATTTGCTTGTCTCCGAGACGAAAGCCGTGGAGAGCGACTCTAGCGACCGGAAGATAGTTGGCATGCGTGCGCGACGAGCGGAAGAGAGTGGAAAGAGCTCGGGGTTACTTCGTCGGAATACCAAATACCCATTTTGCCTCGCCTGACTACCCTCAAATCGGACCACTACTTGCGTGGGACTTCCTAAACTTCTCAGAAAAGTGGAATTTTCTCGAAAAAGCGTCATTCTTGATTTTATCTTCCCCTCTATGTAACTGACCGCGATAAAACCAACAGACGTTTTCTCTCATTTTTTTAACATTTATCGAATATTTCATGTGAAAATGTGGAAATATTACATCTTTCCTTCTCATTTCATATAAGCTCTCATTTTCATCGTCGAAATAATTAAATAACGACAAAATAATAAGACAAAGTCTACAAAGTCAATAATAAGTGATCACTGACATGACTGTCGAAGTGGAAATCAGTGGCTCGTGAAACGCTAGATCGATATACGTATTCAGTACACAGGTACGCGTGGTGACGTATAGGTGACCGCTGCAGTATATCCTGGAGGAGGATGAAGGAAGGCGAGGATGCATCTTGCGTGAGTTAGGGTTGACCGAGCTGAATAATGCATTGAGTTACCTCCGCCATAGCCTCTATATTCTCGACATCGTTACATCGTGTACGGCCGCTATATACGCAGTCTTGTCTTTGCTATTTAGTAATTTGGTATATGCGCTTGTTACCGCGTAGACTCACATTTGCCGTCAAATTTGAGAGACGAGTATAGCATCATCATGACGCGCTTTCCTACAATGTTTATATTTGTTACTTTAAATCTACTTACATTCTTACAAACACGTCTTTTTATTTTTGATATCACGTTAGCACATCACAAAATAATTATGTTATAATTCTAAACTCACCATACGAATATCCATGGGAATGATCGTAAATGTACGTACTCACCTGTAAAAGAAAAATAATTTTTATTAATATACATTAATACATTTAATTAATATGTCGGGGAGGGGGGGATAAAAACTTGGTAAACATGGTTACAAGCTATTTGCATGCAAGTATTATTTATGAAAGTTTAATTAATAATATATGTATATATAAAAGAATATCGCAATATTCTTTTTAAAATATTAATCGCCGTTAGAATCCAAGAAAATTGCATTATAACAAAGAGTCGTGTTTTACGTTTCCTTAAAGAGCAAACTTCAAGCGTTTTGCAAATAATAAAGACTAGTTCAACAGGTTCCGGAAAGAAACAGTTTGCACGAAAACATTTGCGCGTAAAACTTCGTTCTCGTTTAGAACGTCTGTCTCTCTTTCATGGATGCTTTGTCAGATACGCAATGCCATGCACTTTCATTTTCGTTCTCTACAGGCAATGCCTGGCAAGTAATTTTGCCATTTGCAGCAATACGTCGCACGTTCCGTCTTTACGTTCCCGCGATCTTGAAAAGATTAAAGCGACTGCAGAATATCGTAAAGTTACAAGAGAAGTCAACAGAAATTAATATATTTCAGGCTCTTTGGGGAAGAGCACGCATAAGATTATTTCATCAGACGCTATCGTGTATATTACTGTCATAAAACAGTTTTTACAGCCATGTACCGTGAAAAAAACTATATGTTCGCCAATAAACACGGTAGTCGTTTGAAAAAAGTTGCACGGGTGTCGGAAAGTGGATATAGGATAATCATATTTTTTTATATCTTTGCATCAAGGAAATAGCGAACTTCTAAACAATACAGCCGGCTGTTTCGCCCGCAGTATCTTATCTGATCGTGTAGCAGGAATACAAATAAATTGCGAAACAAAACTCGTATATTATTTCATAAAACTTGTAAGAGCTTTATTTTTTTTTTTTTAAAGATTTATTTGAAAATTGAAAGAACCAAAGAACCAAATTTTTATAGCTTTTAATTTATTTTAAATACATTTAAAGTGAATTTCACAAGTTGAATTTAATTCATGAAATCTTCTTAACAAATTAGAAATTTTATCATTTTTTACATTCGTCAAAAATCACTTTTATGATCTTGTCAATAACATTGGCTGTGAAGGAAATAAAAATATAGAATAAAAACATCGAATATAACGTATCAGTTTATTGTTAGTCAACAAATGGAATGTTGGAATGTGAAGTGACTCATGTTCGTAGATACCTAACTGGTTTCATGAACTGCGCGCTATCTTTCTAACTACTCTCATTACTTCGTGCTTAAGATTTCCGTTAGAAATACGTCCGGTTAAGATTAGAACTATTGTAGTTCAATTACATTCAGAAGCTTATCTCAACGAGTGAATTTTGTCTCTTGTAAGTAGCTTGCAGAAAGTTCTATAGATATGATGACGATTGTTCTTCTGGTATGTGAAAATTTTGGATTCTAAAATTTCTTCCGTACGAATATAATTTTTTAATGCTGCAAACGAATTATATTTATTTTTTCTTTCTTTTTTTGTAAAAGCTGAAATTCGATAGGCATTCGATGGCCGGAATGTGAGATAAAATTTCGTTATTATGATTGGTTCATCTGAGATCTTCCCTTTCAAGAGAAATATAATTCTACGATACTGGAGAAGACGGAGGCTGTTGGGGGAAGAGGGGTGTCTCGGATTAAAGGCGAGAATGTATTCAGCTTAAACTTCTCAGGTTTGACTATTAGCTAATAAAAAGGATAATAAGCTGCATTGGCGTAACGGGCAGAAACATCGATAAATGTATATTGCAAAAATATTTGATATAACAATTATATAAATTAAATACAATAAATGTTTGACAAAAATTTATAATATATTTAATGTACGATTAATTCATCGCTGAATTCGAAAAACGTGAAACAGATATTTAATGTCAATTATAATTTTTCAGCATTAATGAATGAATAATACTTCAGTCAACTGTGATCCCGTGATGTGTTAGCTTTACAAAAACCAGATTTTATTAAAGTTATAAATTTGACAGTCACAAGATAAAACGTCGAGAGGGGAAATACCCGACAATGTAGGAAATACAGAATGGAGTGGAAATTTCAGCTTTTTTTGTGGAGACGATGTCAATGTCCTTGCGTCCCTATGCGAGACCATCCCCTCTTTGCGAGTCAAACCAGGCGAGTAATTATTATTAGCGTGGGTGCTAACGAGGCGCCTGTGTTTTGGCGACCGCCAGACCACCCTCGTTTCATCCACGAGTAAACCACGCAGGTAAAAGGAGGGAAGGGGGGAAATGGTACAGCGACGGGGAAAATAAATTTCACCGACTGTAAATAATCATCGTAAATTGGGCTACCGCGGACAATAGACACTCGGGGTGGAAAGCTCCTTTTCCGGGCTGGCTTTACGAAAAGGCGCTATCGCCTCGCTATAACGGGAATAAAGTCAGTGGAGGGAGAGAAAGAGGCTCACGGTTATCAAGGAAATCCCATTATTAATTGTCGTAAGCAGCGATAATTGCCGCGATAGTATCTCGTTTATGTTATACGAGGTTACGCAACGACCGCAGCCGAGCAAGCGTATTTCGTGTTAATTATCGGTAACGACTGCAATTACTCACAGAAAACTCCTCGTAAGGATCCCCCTTGCCGGTCGTTTCCGCGTATCGTTTTACCCGACTCTCTCCGATTTCTCGCCAGGCGATATAAACTTCCTTATTTTGTGCCAATTTGTTGATACCGCTCCGTGCAAACCGCTGACGGAACTTTTATACGATCTACAAAGCATTCTGTTTACGACAAGACAGATTCACGTTCTAATAAAACAGAACCTCATATCGTTACTGAATGAAATGTTTAAATAGACACACGCGCGCGCGCGCGCACACACACATACACACACACAAATGATAGTTTAGTTTTTAATTTATATGCTCTGAATTAATGATAAATTATTATTTATTCAATGACGTATAGAGATAATACGAATTATGAAACATGTAATCTTTGCGATAGCAATTTGTAGTATGAAAACAATTAAGTGCACCGCTAACTGCAGAAATCAATATAAATATCTCCCAATTATATTCTCATAGCTTTAGCTCGATAACTTTTTTATACATGATGCTCGTTATCTTGAATGAAACGGGGTATTGTAACATGTAACACAAATGTGTGCAGAATGATACGATCCTACATTTCCAAATATTTAGCAATTTCGTGAAACAATAATCGCGCACGATCCAAATTTATTCTGCATGCGTACAATTAAATCTATACGTACGAGCATTTTGGTACCGAACGTTTTTCGGTCCCTATATATTGAAATCATCATTTGTGTGCTTGCCATTTGGTTGGCTGCGTCTACTTTAATTGCACGAACGATACACAGGAATGCATACATTCGTCCATATACGTGATTTCACGCGGCTATATGAATCCTCCGCTTTGGCCCCCGTGTGCATGTGTACATAAACTCCGGGCAGGTCGGGCTCAGCCGTGTATATTTTAGCGTCTGTGAATAATCAGCAATCAGCAGTAGCTGCGGCAATGGCGGCGGTAACAAATTGCACGTGTACACACACAAACTAGACATGCAAATTCGAGAAGCGAGTCTCGACCTTACCCGAATCCTAGCCTACCCGGCCATCCCTTTTGATCTAACGAGTCGTGAAATCGCTACGGGGAATCGAGCTATCGCTTTTCGGATGGATCGGATTATCTATCGCGAAGTCGAAATGTCTATAACGCTATCTTCTCCTGGATTAGAGATTTCTAGAAATTTCAATTCACCTAAAAGTCCTAAAAGGCCATTGATATATAATTCAACGTATAATAGTGCGAAAGTTATATATAATTTTATGAAACAGTACAACGAATATATTATCAAATTTAAATAATACTCAACCCAATTTTAAAGTCTTTAGTATTTACATTATAATATATTTTTTAATAATCTATTACATAATCTCAGTCGCATGACTGAGTAAGAAACGCTTATCTTTACGACTATACGATATATGATTAAATATATCGATATTTCATTATCTTTTATAATATTTATGATATATTTTTCTGGTAAAAACGTGTAAATTGATGCAAACGTCTTAAGCAAACGTGTAGCGATGTTAATTCGCTAATTCGCTTCGATAAATCGTCACGACGTATTTTCTGTGGCAGAATCTAACGGAGATACACACAGAGCGATACAGAGAGCCGACGACACGGTTGGGGGATATAACGAGAAACGTAAACGTTTGCTTCAGCAAACCATTCTCGAACGACAGCTCAAATGACGGTATCTAGATTGGCGTCGGAATACTTTGCCAAGTCTCGCGTAAAGTTTATCAGCTTCATCGAAACGCAAAGGCATCTCGACGTTAATCCTATAATTTGATATGCACTCTTTGATTGAATATCAATTATTAATCGAAACGTGTAAATTATAGAATTTTATACAGAATGTAGAATCGTCATAATGAAAAATGTTAAACGACGTATCATAATCTATCGAAAAAAAAATCAAGGATAATACGCTGCTCCAATTTCAATCGTTATGAAATTATTGTTGACTTTTTAATCGTAAACATTACAACAGATCCTATAAAAGGCAATTGAGATACGTCACTGTAAACAAATATCAAACGCGAGAAGATCGAATCACGAGATATCTTCTTGATCGTCTTTATCAGATTGATCGCGTAAATGTATCTATCAGTGCTGTGTAACGACCTCTCAGCAAATCAACCAAGGATCGTTTCTCATGGTCAGAGGTTCACGGGCCAGGTAGATAATTGACAGGCCCGTGCTCTGGGCCCATCGTTGAGAATAATTGGTGATCCTATCGGGAGACGTCTTGTATACGAATCGTGAACAGAGACGAAACGCGATCTTCCCCCTTGAAGAATGGGCCGCGTAGGTGCTGATCAATCTGATATCGATCTGACTGTGAGGGTGCGGTCAGTCGAGGAGCTTTGGAAACAGGTTAACGCATGCTACCCTGTTTTATATTCATATTTTTT